CCCCCATCATTTGCTTTAAATATAGCTCAGTTCAAATTATCTAAGAATAGAACAAATATATAATTATAGCAAATTATTCCAAAACTGGAATATATCCACAATTGGAAAGGAGTTCTGTACGACGAATGATCTCTAGGGCAAGATTTGCTCAAGCCTATTAATAGATTTGACAACAAACGTTCCTTAACATTATCGTTATGCGTAATAACATATCATCGCATAACCAAGCTTCTATATACGCTCGTATAATAAACCTTTTTTTGCTAACTACTAAAAATACGCCTATGGACTGATGACAACGTACAAATAAAATAATGCGATTGTCAAGCTTTTATTTTCCATCAATCGATGTTCATTAATATCAAGAGAGTGGTCATAGAAAGTCGCCAATTACTTAGTTTTAGAAACAGCTGTGCTGTCACGGGCCCACAATCAAGTAGAATAAGATCTTTTTGTCAATATTCTTTCAAATTTATCCGTAAACTTTGGACCTTGGTTCTCAATATTCGAAATAATTTCTGCTATAATCTAAACTAAATTATCATTATAGCGCTAGTCGTTAGTGACATGTTGTACGTTAGGTAATAGAAAGGTAGAACTCTATAGTTGTAATGTAAGCGACATGGTCCAATTATACGTTTTAGTTTCTTCGGAGAACAACTCGGTTTTTGCATTATTTATGAAAGTTTTCGGCATTAGTTATCTAGTTGCACCGCTCAAGATATCAGCGACTCTGGTATTTAAGCCTTCATATTTTTTTACGTCTGGTTGGTCCAAGATAAGAAATAACTTGTGTCATATTTACATGTTGTCTGGAGTGCCGAACTTATTCAAAAATTTTAATAAGTTTGAGTAAATGCTGAAAAGAGTTTACCAATTGTTTCGACCGCCCGAGCTTTTATTTTTCCTTCATTTGTAAACTATTAATGAGTTTTTGAAAAAGAGACAAGGTTGATAATCGTAGGTGATAAGTTTAGTATTGTATTATGCAATGGTATTATATAATATTATTACAGACCTTTTGATCTCTGTCATGAGGCACTTCAAACTTTGACGAGTTGATTGTGACATCAGTATTTTTTTAATAATTAATGAATAAAGTTAATACGGTATGTAAAGAATTAGTACAAAGAATTAAGCCTGCGTATAGTATACAAAAAACATAAACACGCGCACAAAGTTTGATATCATAAATTTTTCAAAAATAAAACTGTTATAGTAAATCTTTAGCAAAGTAAACATGTTTTATGTCTGGCATCACAATACCAGCTATTTGATATAATCAAAAATGGTTATTTTAGGAAGAGTACATAAGAACTTTATATCATTGTAAGCTGAGACTGTATACAGGAAAAGTGACGATTCAGAATAAAGTATGGTTTCTTGTCAAATATACAATTGCTAACAATGCACTTTAAATAGTTAATTTATAGTACACGTAGTATAGTGTCAGAACAGATTTCGCATGCCGTATTTCTCATAATTTCCGCAAACTCTCATTTTTAACACAAGATTGCTCTTAACAGAATAATGCAATCAAATTTTTTGTATAATCAAGTTTGTTATAGAAATGAGTTTGTAACATGTTTGCTACGTTTTGCTCTATGCCTCAACGTTATGTCATGAAGTCCTTATCTGAGGCACTTACTGCACCCGACAAATGCGTCCTGAGAACACGGTAATCCTCTGTTAAAATACTCCAACCGTTCAGCTTTTGGCGTCTTCTACTACGTTATTGAAAAGAGACTGTGATTGTTCTTTTGCTCGTTCCCAAGACATTTTTCTTGAATACGCCTGTGGGTTGTATGAGGGAATGCATCATTAGCCTAATATCGATACGATATTATTATCGTTATGAAAAAAAAAAAAGAAGACAATCAGCAATTTCGTGATTACATGTTCGCCATAATAAATGAAATTAACGGGTTAACGGAGAACATTTCCGATAGCTGCGGCCCAATTGAATTTAAATAATGCAAGTTGAGTGATAAGAATTGTGTATACCACGGCGTTACATATTTTCTGACAAGTAAATTCTCAACTGTTTTTTATTTCTGGTTAATTTCTTTGCTGATTAATTAATATCCCGATATATCGATTTTCTGCCACTATAGCTCAATACATTTTATTGTTTTTGTTTTTGAATAATTTATTATTATTCAAAGTCTAATAAAAAGAGTATTTTCAAAATAATCCAGAGCCGAGACTCTTTTTCTATGAAAAACGTCCTTTTAGTATTAGCTTACTCATCTGTGAAAACGCTGAATCTTTTTTAATACAATTGTTTATTTGGTTAGAATATTATCTGGTAATAAAGACGCATTATCGACGAAGTGTTAAAACAATTTCTCCCCTTGGCGATAGTTAGGATTGAACTTGACATCAATATCAATAAAATTTTGAATAAAAGTATTATTTAATTCTTGCGCACAATAGAAAAACGCGAGCGGGTCCCAAAAACGCAACCTAACGGTTTCTACTTCTAATTTAATTTTCTGGCTTTAGAATAATTATACTTCCCAACTGACAGGCTTTCAACCTAAAATCGGCGTAAACACCCTGGTTAAATACTAGTCCAGGATGGGAGAAGACCGATATTTACATTACCCTATCATAAATTGCCGGATTTTTTGTTACGTGTTTGAAATATTTGTATTTTCTAAGCGGCATTGATAATTTTCAAACTTATTAAAATTCTCCATGATAAACTACTGCTTTTATTGCTGCATACATAAAAACTACAGATGTTAAAAGCTAATACTTGGTGTTCCCACCTTAGCCTTAATAACAGCTTCTATTCGATGTGGTAAGCTCATAATTAAATTTTGCAACATCTCTAGGCTAACATTACTCCATTCTTCTTGAATTACAGTTATTAAATCCTGTTTTGTCTGAGGAAGAGGTTTTCGTTTACGTACCTGACGGTCTAGATGGTTCCGATTGGATTAAGGTCAGTACTTTGCGCGACCTAATATAAAGTTCGAATACCATGAGTTGACATCCACCAAGCGTTATACGAAGATGTATGGCATGGTAAAGCGAGGCTTTCTTTTTGCAGTATAACATCGAATACCCTCATCATGCAAGTATCTTCTAACAGTACTAGTATGTAATGTTGTTTCAAGATCAGAATTTAACCTACCTGTCAGAACGGGGAGGGAGCCAAACCTATCCTCTCAAACTATGCGTTACAGAACCCATACATTCCGGTCAGTAAGCGTTTTTGGGTGCCCGGGACGTTTCTTTGATGTGTGGCAGAATGTGTTTGCTTATGTCGTTTAATTGTATCATTTACAGTGCTAGGAGCAATGCTAAGTTGAGCGGAAATAACGTTTTGTTTCGTTCCGTTAAGATATGCTACATTAGGCCTGTTCCGTTCCGTTCCAATTTGTGCCGATCCCTGATTGGCGGATTAAAAATCATATGATGGAATGGGAACAACAAATTTGCAGTTCCCACACACGTTTTATTAATAAGCGTAAAAAAATAAAAGGTTACGTTGCGCAGAAGGGTTCTAATGGCTTTTAGAAATATATATTTTTTTGTAAAGAATAACACTTGAAATCTTGGCGAAATTTGTCCTCAATTCTCACGGATCTTTGATTGGTTGATACAAGTTTGCCGTCGATCGGAACAGAACGGAATTGAACAGGCTTCTTTTTTTCCTGATAAACTTAAACAGGGAGATTTTTAATATTCGGATAATTTTTACACGTGACCATGCGTTCCTAAACACGAGATTTCTTCTTAACCATATTAGCCTCTTCGTACGAAACGCCACGATAATCACTCGTTTATATGAATATTTCGTATTCCATAAGATTCTATGAAGCTTAACTTAGTTGAGTGCGTGAAAGAATACTCTTCTCTTCAACGCAATAACATTGTCATTGGACATTGTCATTGGCTAACGATGTTATGAACTAACATCAGCGAGCGAGCGTTGCGTTACATTAATCTCCGATTCGGTGAATTAGTCAACAATACTAACTGTGAATGCTCTCAATCAGGGACGATCTCTCAAAAGAAATTCCAAACAGCTTAAACTGGGCTTTAGCGAGCACCTTGTTGTGAATAAAAGTTCCTCGCGATACTCTCAAAAGAAATTCCCACGAGTCATTGCTCAGATATCCGTACTCAACGGTTGACAGTGGTGGACGACTATGTAATGTAGAGATTGAACAACCCCATTCGATGTGATGTGTTAAGTATTTTAACGAGTCATGGCATTTAGTATCCTTTCACTTGTACAAATCTTAAATCGCTTGGCAAATTGTAGGACACAAAGTCTAAACGATGATGATCACATTAGTTAACAATAGAGGCTATTTATGTTTAGATTGTCCGCAATAAAATACAAGTATAATAATAGGAACTATCACAAAGTCGTCAGAATATTCCGATGCACGTTCAGGACAATGAAAACTGGGTGATTGTTGATAGCATTTAATAACTTTATCATCACGCCACTAACGCATTCCACTCATGTACCGTGATTGTGGTCACACCTACTCCTTTATTATCGTGGGCAGAGAAATGCGAATATTTACGTTTTACATGAGCATTCCATCCTATAAAAGGAACCTTGTTTCTGAGAATGAAATTCGGGGAAGGTCTTCAATTGAATTTGCATGTTGCTAACCGTTTAAAGCGTAAATTTAGCTTAATAAAGATTGGTGTACAAATATTGCCCATTAAGCTATATGATCATTAAAACCACGAAGTCAACGAATTCAAGTATTCCAACACTTTCTTCGTATGGGCCTTACATCCATTACTTGTTATCATATTTCATTACTTTTTACTTATTTTTTTCATAAACTAGCTATTTACAATCATGAATGTCCTCGTGAAAAGGGTCAAAGTCTAACTACATTGATATGTAATAAAACCATCAACTTTGTGAAAATCCTCATGTGTAATGATGGTCTTCTCCCGTCTACATTACGAATATGATGTTAGTTTGACAGTCAGATAAATAAAAATAACGGTTAGGTTGTCTACTTACTATTGCTAGGCTCTCTCTCGTTACTGCTTTCCGTATTTATAGACTCAGACACGGCTGGTGATATAACAGGCGTAACTGATGGTGATGTAGCAGGCGTAACTGATGGTGTGTTTACTACAACACAGTATTATACGTTAGCGTTATCAGTAAGTAGGATTCTTATTCAGTTAACTTGTCTACTTACTATTGTTATTCTCTATCTCGTTATTGCCCACCGTCGTTATAGGCTCAGGTACGGTCACTATCCTTGCATCTCGTAGGTTTACTACAACACAGAAATACATGTTAGCGTTATCACAAGTTAGGATCATCGTTCAGTTCAACGTGATCAAAATCATACCGGAATCGCCAAAGATGCCATCAGCAAGTGTTTTGAGTTCTCGCGTCCATGTTATCGGATTTACATGCTCTAAACGGACAAAATCAATCGATTAAATAACGCCCAATCCTTATATGCAAATTAACGCCAGCAACAATTCTCACCTTGTTTTTCAGAAAATTTTTCAGCCATCTCAATGAGACGACGATCAAGACAACGATCATATAACTCTTCTCCTAGTTTCGTTAAGAATTTTTGAGCGTATATATCTATACAGTAAAGGTATTCAGAAATCTTGAACTGTACTTACGATGTTTATCCATTCTCTTTAAATACTCATGCTGCTCAGCGGATAGTTGAGGTATAGGTAGACTCTTGGTACGTTCGGATGAATGATGCATTGGAGAAGGCACTGTCAAATTCATTGATCTTCTCCTAAAAGTCTTGAGACAAGGAAGCTTTTTGTGGGCCATGTTGTCAACCCATATGTCAAATATCCTTTCTAATTCACGCGATGTAGGTCGCATGTTAGGGTCTCGATCCCAGCATGCTTGCATAATTATGGAATAATAGTCGGGTATGTCTTCCGTGTCAATTTCCGGACGTTTTCCTGTTTGTAAAAGTCCTTGTCAGCTGTCTCTAAAAAAATCTACAGATCAAATAGGCACAACACAACAAAACAACGTACCCGAACATATTTCTAATGCTAGAGATGCATCATAATCTCTTGTTTCGAATGGTGGTCTACCTGACCATAGCTCGTACATAATCATCCCGACGCTATAAACGTCAGCTGCTCGAGTGTATGCCATTCCTCGTAAAACTTCCGGTGCTACATAGGGAAGCACACCACGAACCGTCTCTTCAGTTCCTGCTACAGAAGCGTTATTCCAACAAAGACCGAGATCGCTTATCATTGTCCAGCTACCGGATCGAAGAATGTTTCCAGTATGCAAGTCTTTCTTCGAAATCGGTAGCCAAAGAGAAAGACAACATTGAATTGTAAGTTAGCGCGCGCGCATTACATCAAACTACCCTCTACTCAATAATCATGTTAGAAACTCGCTCTTACATGTAACAGTCCTGCCCTATGAATGGTTACCAAACCAACCGCAATATCTCTGAGGGTGATTATCTTGTGTTGTAAAGTAAAATTATCAAAGTTCTTGGAAATATACTGCCGAAGATCACCATCTTCGGCATACGACGTGACAACAATATACTCGTTCGTAATTGGACAGTGTGAAATGCCATAGCAACGTACGACGTGTGTAACCATTGTGCTGAATTGGTGGTATGCGGCCAACTAGTCGACAAGGCAATGGGTAATAAAATGTTTGCCGGACAGAGCAGAAATCAACTATAAGCAATATATGTTTATTACATACCTCTTTCAAAAAGTCCGTCGTCACGTTGTTAGAATTGTTAAGACGCTTGAGGATAATGAGGTCTGGATTTCTCTGACTCCAGCCTCGTTCCCAATCCCCGATATTAAAGTCCCATGCTCTTATAGGTCCTCGAGGCCAATATGCCGTAAATCTAACGTGTCGATATCAAGGATAGTATGTGAGATAAGTCATTGATACGAAAGATACACGCGTAAAAGACCACACGGGCAGGATACATACACTGAACTGTTACCTCCATTCGCAAGATGACTCACGTTTCTAAATTCTTTATAGTCTATCCACTCCACGATAGATCTGACATTAATCGCCTTGAGTTGAGCTACTTGAATAAAATCATCGATTTCTTTACAGCCGCTTGTCCAATTCACAAAATCATTCTGAAGCCGTTCGGTGTCGCAGTATTGACACCAATTGTATCCTGTTCTCGCACTTGTGCACTGTTCACATTGACCGAATTGTCCCATCGGCCGTGGACTAGAGATTCTGACAGAATAATGTGCATAATCGGCGTCTGAATTCACGTTTATCTGAGAAGAAATAGCTTGAGATAGTCGATATGTTTGGTGCTTGTCTGGCACGCTCGTAGCCAGAGAAGGTCGAGAAGGTCGAGGCATGACTGGTACATTCTCAGTCGCAGTGGAATTAGAAGGGTGAACGAGAGTTGGAGCATCATTTTGGTAATTTATTAAATTGTCGACTGGCACTGTTTGATTTTGGAAAGAATGTTGATTGAATGAAGAATCGGGTCTGGAATCTGGAAGTGCAATAGGATGTTGCTTTGTGAACGAATATCTCTTTGAAGAGTGAGGAAGAGAGCTTGCGCGAGCAACAGACATAAAATTCAAACTAGTTGAGTCTAGGTCGGATATTGACACTGTTGAGTCGGAATTGCTCGAGTCTGAACACATTATGATAATTTATCAGATATGTATTTCTGTACAAAACTTTTCAGAAAAAATTGCTTCGTGGGCTGCTTTTTTAAAAGTTTTTTGCATATCCACGTTTCACACGTTCATTGTGCCAAAATCACGTTATATTATTATTATCAAATAAATAATGTGGGGGTAGTGGATACGCCGATTGTTACTATCTATAGACTGAACAAATGGTAAAAACCATTCATCTGGGGCAGATTAAAGTCATTTAGGATTGGACAGATTAAAAGTGAACATTTATGCGAGCATTGCTGTAAAAGTGTCGGTTATTACCAAGTATACTGCTGTATAAAAACTCACAAGAGGTGATAAACTTATGATGTCATTTCAAATGTGAAATTTCCATGAATTCTTCAATAATCATCCCACCCGTTAGGAAATCAACTGACTATTATTTCAAATAGAATAAGTTACAAACATGGGTAGCATATGTATAAATTTGGTTAGCGTCCTGCAAGCGGGTAAGCCTTGTTTTAAAAGACCAAAAAAAGTGGTCGCACAATGAACTCCAACTTATATGACGTTACAAAGTAAACAAAGGTCATGTTACTATTGCTATTTGCTACCCACCAAACTTTCCTTTGAGGGAGAATTAAATCCTTGGAATAAAAGCAAACGTTAATGCAGTATGCTGCAAGTATGTCGGTTTAACCGGTGGCGTTAGAATGTGTGTTTAGTGGGTTATTAAGCCTCATCATGAGGCTTTAGAGTGTATGATGTCGTTTCACATGATTTTCAAATAAAAATCATCCCACCCATCCATTAGGAAAAATAGACGTTAGAATTGGTATAAATATGGTTAGATATGTGACAATTCGGTTTGTACAATGCAAACAAATAAGCCACTATTTTTTTTTTTTCAATTAAATGATAGTATAGGGAAAGGAAGAGAGACGGATTACAAGATAAGAGTACAGAGATCTGAAACAGTTACAGGATATAATCGGTAACATGTTACACGGTGACAGCAAGCGTGTACAACTTTAGATGACATTTTCGATAAACTTTGGCCCCCGTTTTCGGATCGTCACTCGATCTAATTATAGTATCCCTAGCCAATGGTACGATCATATTCGTAAGAATAATTATAATATTACATCAACGTCTCACTATCTCACTATCTCGTTTAATGTATTGTCTTTCGTCTTTCAGTGCAAGTCGCCTATTAATTATTACGTTTTGACCTCAGTTTTTTTGTAACATGTAAACGTACGATGTAAATAATCAATCAATTTCGATTGCAATAACATTTTCTTCCATCCATTCCCAGCTGATAACTGAAATTTGCTGCTCATGCATGTCTTCGGATAGTCCTGATATGATCTCCATCAGTAAGTAATCTCTGATGATGACGTATTCTTCCCTGAGTCTAATAACGTTGCGATCTGCAGGTAAAGTAAGCATGCGTGATGCAATAATTTGCAGCAGTTGTAATTAGTAGCAGAACAATAGTTATATCGATAACGATTGATTAAATTATAGTTCAAAAGTAGCGTAGATTTCGCTTAGCATCAGTGTGTTTATTGCAGAGTTTACAATATCGAAGATTGTTCGGTTTTTTATTATCATATATTCACTATAATAAAAAATAACCATTTCCGTCATAACGATTAGGAATATGTGCCTTCCTTATATTCTTTACACTAAAAACGTACGTTTGAATACTAGGATTAGTAATGATTAAGTTGTCTTCACAACATCACTATAGATAAATTAGTTTGAGAAGCGAACAACTTCTAAGATTGGCACGACACTGAGGTCATGTGTAGCAAAAGTTATCGTACGGTATCAAATGCTACTGATGCATAATTTGTGCAATTTTTCAATCTCATAATAATGCGCAATTCTTGAACCGTACAACAAGGCATCAATTATACAAATTTGATTTTCAGACTAGTGCTAAATAATTTCCACAATGGCATTGTACAAAAAGGCTATCACCTTTCAAAGAATGGCTATCACCTTTTTACAAAAATACATTAATTTTGGTTTTTCGTGTGACAATGCTTTGATCATACGATTTTCTACGATTGTTTTTCAAAGTTCTGAGTGACAATGACTAATGCTTAATAATCCTACTTTTTTTTTAGCCGTACAACAATGTATCAATCGTATGACTCTGTTTCAATTATAGCGTTTATACGTTTAATTTCATTATTATAGATGTTAATTTAATTTAATATCCGTAGATATTATTCTAACATTACAAATCAATCTGTTTATTCAAGAAAGTTCAGGAAATTACATTGATTAACAACGCGTGTGCATTGAATAGTAAAATTTCGGTATTCGGAATTGTTCTCATACAATTTAGCTCGTTCGAGTATAAATAAGAGCGATGTAGAGAAATCTTGCTATGTTGACATATGAAAAGTGTGCATAATTCATTATGATATGGACGAATGATAAGAGAACGATATTGACGTGGCTGAAACAACTGCTGCGTTACCGAACTGTAAAAGAGAATTAGCAATGCACCAAATATATAGCACGGTCAATAACCTCACCGCCTAACGAAAAGTAACTTTTCTTTGAGTATTGTTACAATATCTATTTCGTGTGACATAAATGACGTATCGCTTTATTAAGAGTTTGTAACACATGCGGAATTATGCATCACATGACAAGAGCAATAAGAGCTTGTGCGACAGACTACGGCAGCAACATTCTATAATATATAATAGTGATGTATTTCAGTTTTAAGATCTGTCTCAGTTCCGAACTCAGACACAGTCCAGAAGCCCAACTGAAATACAATTAAAAAATAAAAGTGTAGACATTTTGAGTAACATACCATATTAATATATAAGTTATATATTGTACATTCGCCAATTCAACAACGTTGCTATTACTATTGTATTTTAATGATAAATCAAATCGCATTACCAAAAAACCTTTTTCGTATATAAATAATTTAACATGTCACACAAACGCGTCCCCTAATATGATGGTTCTTTTAGGAAAAGACAAAGCAATAATAATAATTTGATACATTTAGTCAGTTTAATGAAGGTGTCAAGTTATCATTATAAATGCTAATCATTTTATCTTATGACCCGTTCTAGGATTTGACCCGTTTCGGGATTGTCACATTAGAATAATATCTTGCACCAATAAAGTGTACAATTATGTGATAACGTTTGTGACAATCTTGAAACGGGTTGACCCGTTCTCAGAATAGGTCAAATCCCAGAACGGGCCGCAGCAGAAACATTCTTTGTATTATTACGCATTTGAGATTTCTATTATATCAACCTCATTATTAAGATATAAATAAAGACTAACGATATACATATTAACTAATTTACATCCACGCATGAAATATCCTCATAAAAGGTCGACATCTAAATGACCAATATGTAATAAAATCATCAACTTGGTGAAAAGTTTTGTGTGTAAGGGTATTCTCCTACCTATATTACAATATGCTGACAGTCAGATTAATAAAAAAAGCAGAAACAACGGTTGGATTTCCTACTTACTATTCGCAATAGTTGTCGTCCTTGTATCCTCAAACCCAGTTGTTACCGTATCAAACGTAATCGGTATTGTGTTTACTACGACGCAGAAAAATATTAACGCGATCAGTAATGTTGGGATTATAGTTCAGTGCAATGTGATCTCGTCATACCTGAATTGCCAAAAATTTCATCAGCAAGAGTTTTGAGTTCCCGTGTCCATGTCATCGGATTTACTTGTTCTACAAGGATATTAAACCAACTCGTTTAACAAACACCTTGTCTGTTCACATTCAGAGACATGTTAACGTCAGCTTGCGAAATAAAATCACCTTGATGTTTGGACCTTTCTTCAGCCATTTCGATAAGACGAACGTCAAGACAACGTTGATATAGTGCTTCCCCTTTTTCAATAAATCCAGCATTCAGAACGTCTATTTGTTATATATTTAAAAAGGCAGAAAATCTCAACTACGCTTACGACGTTCATCCAGTTTATTTAAAAGCTTATGCTGATCAGCAGACAGCGGAGGTATTGGTTGACTCGTGCTACCATTTTCAGATATGCTATATAATCTAGATTCATGCCTTTGTGATATCAAATTTACTGATTTCTTGTTGGAAAAAATCTTGGGACAGATCAGCTCTCCATTTGCAATTTTTTCAATCCAATTATCAAATGTCCTTTGTAAATCACGCGACGTAGGTCTCATTTCAGGGTTGTCCGCCCAGCACGCTTGCATAACAATGGAATAATATGCGGGTATGTCAGACGGAAGGTCAGGACGGATCCCTATTTGTAAGAGTCATTGTAATTGGTATCAAAAAGTCTACAAAAAACAACTAAAACAAAACGACTGTACCTGAACATATATCCAATGTCAACTGTACACCACAATCTCTTCCTTCGAAGGGCGGCCTGCCTGACCATAGCTCATACATAATCATTCCAATACTATAAACATCAGCTGCTCGAGTGTATGATTTTCCACGTAAAACTTCTGGCGCTACATAAGGAAGCACACCCTTCACCACCGGCTCAGTATTATTCCAGCAAAGACCGAGATCGCTTATCATTGTCCAGGTACCGGATAGCAGAATGTTCCCAGTGTGCAAATCTTTCTTCAAAGTTGGTAGCAAAAAAAGATCAGTTAGCGTTAGCGCATTTTAATAATCGTCATAAAACTCGCTATTACATGCAACAATCCCGCTTTATGAATGGCCACTAAGCCACTTGCAATATCTCTGAGAGTGATAATTTTCTTCTGTAAAGTAAAGTTATCAAAGTTCTCGGAAATATATCGCCGGAGATCTCCATCCTCGGCATATGATGTGACGACAATAAACTCGTTAGTGAACGGGCAGCGCGAGATGCCGTAACAATGTATGACATGCGAAACCAACGTGCTGAATTTGTGGTATGCGCCTAACTAATCGGCAAGGGTTCAGTGGGGCATATGTTAGCAAATCCGCCAGCAAAGTGAATAGACGATTTTCGAATTAATGACAAACTTGCTCATTAACATGCCTCTTTTAGAAATCCTATCGTCACTTTATTCGAGTTTCGTATACGTTTCAATATGATTACGTCAGAATTTTCCTGACCCCAGCCTCGCTCCCATTCATTGTTATTTGCGTCCCATGTCCGAATAGGTCCGCGAGGCCAATATGCTGTAAACCTAATTAATTAAAGGTCAACATAAATTAGCTATTGATACCAAGAAACACATATAGACATGATTCAGACTATACCTACACTGAGCTGTTACCACCGTTTGCAAGATGCCTCACATTTGTAAACTCTTCATAATCTATCCATTCCAGGATAGATCTGACATTGGTTGCCTTGAGTTGAGCTTCTTGAATAAAATCATCGATGTCTTCAGAGCCGCTCGTCCAATTTGCAAAATTCTTTTGAAATTGTTCGTTGTTGCAATATTGACACCAATTGTATCCTGTTCTTGCACTCTTGCATTCCCCACATTGACCAAATTGTCCCATTGGTCTTGTAGCAGAAAGTCTGGCTGGATGGTGTTGCTGTCTGGCAGTGTTTGTGTCCAAGTTTCGCAGGGAAAGGAGAGCAGCTCTTGCTTGAGGTAATGATCGAAATGGCTGAGTTGTGGCAGGTCTGTTATTAAACGGGACTCGTATATCCCACCCAGTGGAAGTGCCATAAGTTGGCAGGACTTGGGTTTGAGGATAGTGAACTGGAGACTCTCGTTGTGAGGTTGGCCCGATTATAGTGGAAATGATGAGCGGAGATTCTCGTCGTGAGGCTGGCGCACTACAAGTGGAAACGACATCATTCAGCGAAATTTGAGAATAGCGAACTGAATGCTGTGAGGTTGATCCAACATTAGTGGCAGTGACATAATGAGGCAGAACTTGGGTTAGAGAATCAGTTTGATTTTCGGAATCTATTAAAGAGTTGGGTCTAGCATCCGATATTGTATAGTCGCTTGTGAATGAAATATTTTCGTCTGTTCTTGTTGTTGAAGTACAAACATCAGGAAGAGAGTGATAGCTCGAATTTGAACTGGTAGAGTCCAGGGAGTTGGATCTGTCTGAATATGAGTCTGAACACATTCTAATGGTATATATTCTGTACAATTCAAACAAAGTTTAACTTGCAGATGATGGCATATTAATACGACAAACGTTTATGCTGTGTATTGTAACACTAGTTTCCATTCTACAAAGTTCATTTTCATTGTGCCAAAATTTGGTTATTTTAACATTTCTGTGAAAGCAAATCACAGACCGCCTCTGATAAAAACTTGCTTTTGGAACCTTCTACCGTCCGTAATTATCATGTACGTAGTGATCGATTGTTGCCATTAAGTTAAGTTTGAAGCTTTAATGCAGTTTGCAGTCACAAGTGAAAATCGTATTTTGGAGATTACTGCGCCTGTTGTGACCGAACTATCGGAGCTTTTCCTGATTGAAATTGGAGCACTTAATAGGGGCATAATAGCAAATGTAAGCGCGCACACTCAAGGCACCGGAACTACATGATTGTAATAACCGGGGTACCTTATTCACATAATGACGGGATTTACATTTTCACATGCTTGATGCGAAGGTGCGTTATAAGGATTAAGCTGCACATGTGGATGTACTACCCTAAAATGGAAACACTCTCCCGTGTAAATATCGGATAAATTCCTGATTATATGGATTACTGTATATGGTATATTGCATTCGAGGAAGAACATATATATACCGTGCCAGGCTGATTCTTGTGCACTATTCGCTTTATACAGTTAAGAGCAGTTTTCTTATATATACCGGTTCCAGAAGATCAGCTAGCGCAAATTACACCGCTTTGTCACGGCAACTTTTTTAGACAAGCTTTAACTCGCAATTAACAAATCATAAAGTCAATTTTTAACTGTTCGTCAAATGCTTCATGACGAATTTGGCATACAACACGTGATATACAATTGCGCGATCATCAATGAGAATGCTGCACAAAGCAGACGAAATGACAACGTTGTTTACTTCGTGAAATGATTGAAGTAGAGGATAAAGTTATTTGTATCCGATGTTGCATTATAAATTTAATTTTATTAGGGGGTGCTAAGCGTTATACTCAAAAACATTATGATTATTTGGAGGGAGTGCAAAAGATAGTACAGAAGCCGTTTGGATACAGTCTCTTTAAAGCAAATTCGCGATTATGTGCGAAAGTCTTATAGATTCCTATAGAGAAAAACTCAAGCTGAGACGTAATCGTAATTTGCCACCTTTTTTCTCATAAAACTTTTCTTTACACTGACACATCTTATTTACGATATGAATTCATCTGTCATTTTCAGTATCTCTTGCTTATTCTGTACAAAAGATGGAAAAGATCAATCTTTGCCTGACAAATCAGAATCTCTTTGCAAAAACGACAGATAAATGTGACCAGCACATTTAAATGTAGGATTAATGCTGTTAGTGAGAGACTTGGAAAAAAGATTCGAATGATGTTACTTGGATGACTTCCTAAATGCGTATTGTGCAACGAAGTAGGCTTGAATTGCATTCCATTCTGAAAATTTTGATCCTGTTGTTATCACTAAGCAATTCACTCCCGATGAAATTGGAACCAAAGTCAGTTATAATAAAATTAGGCCCCATATAATACATAAAACCATGATTAATCGGGTCAACGAAAAGCATAGGACATCACTATAACTGTAATCAGTTTATCAAACGGAACATTTATTATGTCAAATTTCATTATTGAAATTTATAACTCGTTAATTTACAATAGACACCATAAATGCTTGTGAAATGGTCAAAATATACAGATATACATACTGTAATTAGCTATTTACAATCCATGCCATAATGCCCTCAAAATCTAAATACATCGATATGTAATAAAATCATTAACTTGGTGAAAAGCTTCATGTGGAAGGATTTTCTCTTGTCTAAATTGATATGAGATTGATGTTGACGGTCAATTAATAAAATAACAAAAATAACGATTTGGGCTTTCTACTTACTCTTCCTATTCTGTCTCCTATTATTGCCTGCGGTCCTTGTGGGCTCAGGCTCAGTTGTTACCGTATTGAATGTAATGGGTAATACGTTTACTACAATGCAGAAAATATATTAATGCAATCAGTAATGTTGGGGTTATAGTTCAGCTCAGTGCGATCGAGTCATACCTGAACTGCCAAAGATTTCATCAGCAAGCGTTTTGAGTTCCCGTGTCCATGTCATCGGATTTACTTGTTCTAAAAGGATATAAACCAACCCGTTTAACAAACGCTCTATCCATTTGCTTTTAAATACATGTTAACGTCAGCGCGCAAAATAGACTTACCTTGATTTTTTGATCTTTCTTCAGCCATTTCGATGAGTCGATCATCAAGACAGCGTTGATATAGAGCTTCTCCTATTCAAGACAAATTTTAATTCAGCATTCAGAACGTATACTGTTATATAGTTAGGGAAAGCAGAAAATCTCAATTGCGCTTACGACGTTCATCCAGTTTATTTAAAATCACATGCTGATCAGCGGATAGTGGAGGAATTGGTTGGCTCATGCTACGCTCAGGTATACTATATAGACTAGATTCATCCTTTTGCGTTGTCAAATCTACTGATTTCTTGTTGGCAAAAGTCTTGGGACAAGGCAACTCTCCGTTTGCAATTTTTTCAATCCAAATTTCAAATGTCCTTTCTAATTCACGCGATGTAGGTCGCATGTCAGGGTCTTGATCCCAGCATGCTTGCATAATAATAGAATAATAGGCGGGTACGTCCGAAGGAATGTCCGGACGGGTTCCTGTTTGTAAAAGTCCTTGTAGTTGGTATCAAAAAACCTACAGAAAAACAACTAAAACACAATAACTATACCTGAACATATATTCATTGCTAAAGGTAGATCATAATCTTTTTCTTCGAAGGGTGGCCTGCCTGTCCATAGTTCATACATAATCATTCCAACACTATAAACATCGGCTGCTCGAGTGTATGGCATTCCGCGTAAAACTTCTGGTGCTACATATGGAAGCACACCATGAACCGTCTTTTCATTTCCAGTCACAGAAGCATTATGCCAACAAAGACCGAGATCACTTATCATTGTCCAGGTACCAGATCGCAGAATGTTCCCAGTATGCAAGTCTTTCTTCAAGATTGTTGAGAGCGAAAAAAAGACAGCATTAATGTGTGGTTAATATTAGTGTACAAAACCGTTATTCAAAAATCGGCATAGAATTCGCTATTACGTGCAACAGTCCCGCTCTATGAATAGTTACTAAGCCGCTTGCAATGTCTCTGAGAGTGATAATTTTTTTTTGTAACGTAAAATTATCAAAGTTCTTGGACATATATTGCCGGAGATCTCCGTCTTCAGCATATGATGTGACGACAATAAACTCGTTAGTGAATGGGCAGCGCGAGATGCCATAACAACGTACAACATGCGAAACCAATGTGCTGAATTGGTGGTATGCGCCCAACTGATCAATAAAGTAATGGTGTTAGCAAAACCACCAGGCAATGTAAACAAAACCTTACTTATTAACATGCCTCTTTCAGAAATCCCATTGTCATTTTATCAGAATTTTTGATACGCTTCAATATGATTACGTCAGAATTTGCCTGACCCCAGCCTCGCTCCCATTCATCGCCATTTGCGTCCCATGTCCGAATAGGTCCGCGAGGCCAGTATGCGGTAAATCTAATTAAAAGTCAAATAATCGGAATAAAATGAGGATCAATTAGACATATTTTAAAAATATACCTACACTGAGCTGTTACCGCCGTTTGCAAGGTGCTTCACGTTTGTAAATTCTTTATAGTCTATCCATTCCAGGACGGATCTGACATTGGTTGCCTTAAGTTGAGCTACTTGAATAAAATCATCGATTTCTCCGGAGCCGCTCGTCCAATTCGCAAAATCCTTCTGAAACTGTTCGTTGTTGCAATATTGACACCAATTGTATCCGGTTCTTGTGCTTTTGCATTCATCACATTGACCAAATTGACCCATTGGTCGTAAAGTAGAAAATCTGACTGAATGACGTCGTGATTTAGAGGTATCTGAGTTTATGTCTCGCCGGGAAACAAGAGCAGTTCTTGCTTGAGGCGATGGAGATGGCTGAGTTGTGGCTGGAATGAGGTTGGTGGTAATGACATTAAACGTTCGCGAATACCGAACATCATTTTTTGTTTCTAGAGGATAATTCTCATTCAATGATTCTTCTGCTTGCGCTGATTTGGCAGGCTCAATTGAGGTGGCTGGCTCGCTAGTGGTAATGATATCTGAATTTTCTGTTTCTTGAAGATAATTCTCATACAATGGTTGAGATGACACGCCGCTGATAGGGTAAGAAGCTTGATAACTATAAGTGACATTTTCTGATTCTTGCGAACAAACGTAACGTTGGTTTCTAGAATAACTAGACGTTGCTGATTGTGGTGTGCTCCTAGTGACATATTGATGATTTCTAGAATAACTAGATGTTGCCGATTGTGGTGTGCTCCTAGTGACATACTGATGGTTTCTAAAATAACTAGCTGTTGCCGATTGTGGTGTGCTCCTAGTGACATACTGATGGTTTCTAGAATAACTAGATGTTGCCGATTGTGGTGTGCTCCTAGTGACATACTGGTGGTCTAGATGATACGAAGATTCAGTACCATAATGTTGTACGTCTTGAGAAAAGCTAGCTATTACAGATGGGTTATTCCAAACATAGTGTTGGTCTGGATAATATGAGGTTGGTGCACCCATAATAGAAGTAGCATAATGAAACGAAGGTTGGGTTGGAGAAAAGCGAGCGATATGGTGAAGGGTTGGAGTATCAGTTTGATAATTTACTGAATGGTGGCTTGGTTTTGATTGTAGTAATAGGGCGTCAATTTGATTGAGCAAAGAGTCTATATCCAATTCTGTATTAACTCCTCAATTGCATCTGTTCTTGTTGATTTAGCTGTAGAAGGGCAAGCGTCAGAGACAGTGCGAGGAACAGTTGACCTCAGGTCAGACATAAGATAAGCTGTACAAGAGAAAGAATCTATAAACATCGTCGTTCCGTGCTATGTTTGTTATTGTATCACTACTTCTTCCGCATCCTCAATGCCATTATCATTGTGCCAAATCTGGTATTATAAGATCGAGGACTCTGGCTGGCGAAAAGTCAAAAAATGGTCACACAGCATGCTCGAAAAATACGTACGGCGCCGACTCGGACTGCATATAGAATATACTAGTGAACCAAAAACTTTACCTTTGACAACTCTTATTGTCCCTATTGATTGTGTACGTTATATGATTTTGGTATCGTTTAATTTTAAATTATGAAGGTAACTGAAAATAAAGTTTGTGGTGATACTCTTTTTTCCAACGATCTGGGTAATGATTGACGTGGTACAGTCGACCCGTTAACCTCTCACTATTACAGTATTAGCAACAGTAGTTACAGAACGGATTTCCCCATTAAATTCTCCCGCATATATCAAGATTTTAAAATGTACCTCGCTGATATCAACATCACTATAAATTAGTATTTTAAAATTTAGATTCTGGTCTACAATATTACGTATTTACTACGCAATGTCTCTGATTTGCGTTCTATTATGCACTAAAGTGTATTACTAAAAGTGGACAAATTGAACATAAGAAATGACAGTTTACATATTTTCGTAATCACTTCATGTGCCATCGCAAACGATTGAAGGTAAAGGTTTTATTATAGTAAAGTTTAAACACGATCGTATATAATACTGTAGTATTGCAGATCAACGAAATTGGTCGGTCGGAGGTTAATATTAGAGAGGGTCGACTGTACTAATAATAACTGACGATATTTGAACGACAAAATTGTTTATATAAAATCACATAAACAATGCTTAGATGTCGCTTATTAGTATTAGTGTGATATTAGACAATGAGCTGAGCCTATTTCGAATTGGGACAACTTGTGTGACATATCATTTCATTACATGTGTAATACACACTCAACTTGACGATCAATTAGTAAAACATATTAATATGGAAACCCTCTTTTTCGAATGTCTGTATTTACGTATTTACTATGTAAGTTTTATACCTTTTGAAGCTAATTGATTATACAGTGCCTAATTAAAAGTCTCCGATCATCCCTTGCCGATCAATTAGTAAAAGATATGAAAAATCTATATATTATTACGAAGCAGTGTTCCACAGTGTATATGTTACACATATGTAAATCATACGAAAATGTATGTGTAACATATATCCTCATTTCAGCGAATTACAGCTTCGTTCTGATAAGTTGCTAAACTTGTCAGGAAAACCACTGTCAATTAGCTGCATAATAATATAAAAAATTTGTTGTCTACTTAGTATTAGTAAACAACGCCAACAGATTTTCGAAAAACATAGATGTTCATTTACTAATACTAATTGATCAGCAAGGGATGGTCGAAGACTTTTTTAATTAGGCACTGGTTCTTTTATGTCTTGCGGCAACATCTGGCACTCCCCTGACAAAATTATAAATGCAAGCGGCGATCTGCTTCACAATCACATCACTTTAAATCTAGTTTACTCAGAAATCCACGCAATGATAATAAAATCAATAATGTACATCGTTCGACTCGTCAAGAAATGCTCTTTTTAATGGTATGAAAAGCAAAGTTTGGTATGCCGAATTTATGCGTATAACGTAAGAATTAGCTATCAAGACATAAAAGTCGACTTTTTTAAACCACACGTGTACAGACAAAGTCTTAATAACCGCCATTAAAATTTATATCATTTTGAAGCGAAATGATTGGGTACTTTAAGTTATATGAACTAATAAATTTTGCTACCGCCTGGCCAACGTTAAAAGAAGCAATGACCATATGGACCGAACGTATCCTTGACAATCACAGGTCAGTTCTGAAAGATGGCTCATTAATATTAAACTTAAAATCGCACTCTAAGCATGGTGAAGGGTTAAGTGCTTCATCACAACAAATGATCGAATGACGTTACTTGGATGACTTTCTAAATGCGTATAAGGCTTATCGAATTGCATTCCATTCTTATCACTAAAGCAATTCACCCCAGGTGAAATTGGAACCAAAGTCAGTTATAATAAAATTAGGCCCGATATAATGCATAAAACCATGATTAATCGGGTCAACGAAAAGCATAAGGCATCACTATAACGGTAATCATTTTATCAAACGGAACATTTATTATGTCAACTTTCATTATTGAAATTTATAACTCGCTAATTTACAATAGACACCATAAATGTCCTCGTGAAAAGGTCAAAATCTAAATACATCGATATGTAATAAAATTATCAACTTGGCAAAAGTCTTGGGACAAGTAAGCTTTCCGCTTGCGATACTTCAATCCAAATGTCAAATGTCCTTTCTAATCAACGCGATGTAGGCATGTTAGGTCTTGATCCCAGCATGCTTGCATAATAATGGAATAATAGACGGGTATGTCCGAGGACGGATTCCTGTTTGCAACTATATCTGAAAATACAGCCACTACCAAACGTACATCATAATCTTTTCAATCGAAGGGCGGCTTGCCTGACCATAGTTCATACATAATCATTCCAACACTATAAACATCGGCCGCTTGAGTGTATGGCATTCCGCATAAACTTCTGGTGCTACATAAGGAAGCACTCCATGAACCGTCTTTTCATTTCCAGCCACAGAAGAATTATTCCAGCAAAGACCGAGATTGCTCATCATTGTCCAGGTACCGAATCGCAGAATGTTGCCAGCGTGTAAGTCTTTCTTCTCCAGCCTCGTTCCCATTCATCGCCATTGCGTCTCACGTCTGAATAGGTCCTCGAAGTAATATGCCGTAAATCTAATTAAGTCCATAATTGAGATTAATATTGATACAAGAAACACATATTAGACATAATTCAAAATATACCTACACCGAGCTGTTACCACCATTTGCAAATGCTTCACGTTTGCGAGTTCATCCATTCCAGGATAGATCTGATATTGGTTGCCTTAAGTTGAGCTTCTTGAATAAAATTATCGATTTCTTCGCTGCCACTCGTCCAATTCACGAATTATTCTGTTACGTTCGACGTCGCAGTATTGACACCAATTGTATCCTGTTCTTGAGCTTTGCATTCCTCACATTGACCAAATTGTCCCATTGGTCGTAAAGTTGAGAGTCTGACTGAATGACGTCTTGATGTAGCGACGGCATCTGGATTCATGCTTGCAGGTGAAAGAGGGAAGCTATGCCTTAAGATGATAGCTGTAGCCGGGTTCTGGGTATGAACCTCCATATGACTGGACCAACGTACACTTTTGATCACGGAAATAATATATGTATTCTGTCTTATAAGCTAATTCGCAAGCGTTTTCATCTAGAAGAATAAGGAGATAATTAACAAAAGACAAATGATACGTGTAAGACGAATTATAAGAACTCGACATAATAATTACCACGACGTACGACATGATGATCGCTCTAATACCATAGTCCATCCATATGCCAGCCTCGTCTTCTGCATTTTCTACGCAGAAACTTCTATCATATATAAAGCTGCATTTGTACATGTTCATCGTTTTCCAACACCAGCTTTACGAGCATACGATATTACTCTAACGTTGTATAAGCGTCACCCCAAATGTGAGCGTGTGTTCGATGTGATGATATTGGTTGTTGATGCTGTGGCCGGTTGATTGTTGGTTGTTGAGATATTACTAAACTCTAGATTAAAAGAGGGTGCGCGTAATCAAATAAGGCGGAGCGATGAAAGCGTAGTTCTCCAAAGCAGACGAATTCTCGTTCGATTTCTGAAAATTAATCTAAGAAATTAGTCTTACCGTTCGAATAACCTGTATGAAACAAACATAACGATCACCCACATATTTTCTGCGAGCGCTTTTTTTCTTGCGGCATCACTAACAGTCAAACCACTGTAGCAAAAATTCATTCGGTAAAATGTGGATTAAATTGACATTTCAAGGCCCAAAATAATCGTTTAAGCTATGAAACATGAAAAAGGTGTGAAAAAAGATAAGCTACGAAAAATTATAGAAACCCCTGAAATTTGTACACACATAGTCTCTTGACCGTGCGAAAATTACGAACACCAACTTTGTTACAATTATTCATCTTGAACTCTGAGAGTATAACATGGTGGGAATATTAGCGCTGGGAAATAGTTTATCTCCGTCGCGACGGTTTGTCTCATAGACGGATTTGCCGTCAGCCGAGGCACTGGACGATCTCGACACTGCTATAGAATTCAACCCGACTATACCTTTACAGCACACGCGGCAAAGTGTATTACATGATGGAATTCTACGAGATGCATTCGCGTATCTGGACACTGCCCTAGAAACAACACCTGCCAACGGCTTTGATCGCGGTCGTGTTTACTACACGTTGAGCAGATTGACTGGGCTTTGAGGCAGGATCCTGAAAACTGGGAAACAAGAGTGAGATATACAGATCGTTAAAGAGGTTTGATGAAGCATTGGCTGATTTGGGCAAGGCTCTTGAGATTGAGCCGGACAATCCACTGGCATTAAAGAATAGAGGGCTTTGTAGAAATAAATACGGCCATCATTTGTAACTTTCCCTTCCTTTTTTTTCTTTTTCACAAGTACAAATCTCAAAAGCGTACATAATAACAGAGTTGGCAAATGTAACATAAGGCAATAGATAGTATATTGTCCGGTTTATATGAGTAATCATGATCGAAACAGCGCGCGCTCACTTAAATAAATATACGCGCATCTGATTGGTCAATTGCAATTTTCGATTAAAAATGCGCAATGCGTTATTGATATGATATTCGTTCGCCATTTTTCTCAATAACCTCTCTACAGCGCTGAGGCATTGAATTTACTAAATTAACTATAAGATTATTTGGAATATTTCCCCATTCCTCTCCTAAAAAACGCTCTAATCCGTAAGATCTTTTGGGTGGGGGGGGGGGGGCGGTAACTTGGGGGTACTTATTCACGATACACGGTTAACAAAAAGCATAAAACATCAATATAATGATAATCATTCTATCGAATCATTGAAATAACTCATTATCCCAAGTGAAGCACCATTGACCGTGACACTAATATATTAGAAAGTTTGGATATGAGTAGCTTATCTAGACCATTTTCTTTGTCGTTAGTTTCCAAATTTCCCATTTTTACATAGGTGGGGGTAATTTTGACTAAAAAAAAAAGCAATTGAGAATTTTAATTTAAAAGGTTTGAACTCCCGTGGAGCAAAGCTAAAGAAGAAAAGAATACCCGCGGTATTGACGCAAGCAAGAAAAAACACCGTCAGACTATTCCTTGTACTATTATTAGGGGTTTCCCCGAAGTTCTATTTAATCAACCAACATTATTGAAAGTTATAATGATATACAAATATAAATATACATATTTAGCTAATTTACAATCCGTGCCATAATACATCAATATGTAATAAAATCATCAACTTGGTGAAAAGCTTCATGTGTACGAATTTTCTTTTGCCTAAATTAATATTATACGGTCAGATTAATAAAATAACAGGAACAATCATTGGGTTTTCACTTACTGTTGATATTCTGTCTCCTATCAATGTCTGCGGTCATTGTGGACTCGGGCCCAGTTGTTACGATATTGAACGCAATTGGTAATACGTTTACTATAACGCGGGAAAACATATTAACGCAATAATGTAGGATTATAGTTCAGTTCAATGCGATCAAGTCATACCTGAACTGCCAAAGATTTCATCAGCAAGCGTTTTGAGTTCCCGTGTCCAAGTCATCGGATTGACTTGTTCTGTAAAGACAAAATCAATCCGTTTAACAGACACACTGTCGATTCCTTTTAAATACATGTTACGTCAGCTCGCAAAATAGACTTACCTTGATTTTTGGTCCTTTCTTCAGCCATTTCGAGGAGCCGAACATTAAGACAGCGGTGATATACAGCTTCTCCTATTCAAGAAAATTATTCAGCATTAGTACATATACACTTAGGAAGGCAGAAAACCTCAACTATACTTACGACGTTCATCCAGTTCATTTAGAATCTCATGCTGATCAGCGGATAATGGAGGAATTGGTTGACTCATGCTACGTTCAGGTATACTATATAGACTAGATTCATTATTTTGCGTTGTCAAATTTACTGATCTCTTGTTGGCAAAAGTTTTGGGACAAATCAGCTCCCCATTTGCAATCTTTTCAATCCAATTATCAAATGTCCTTTCTAATTCACGCGATGTAGGTCTTATTTCAGGGTTGTCTGCCCAGCATGCTTGCATAATAAGGGAATAGTAGTCGGGTATGTCAGAGGGAAGGTCGGGACGCATTCCTGTTTGTAAGAGTCATGGTAGTTGATATCAAAAAATCTACAGAGAGAGCAACTAAAACAAAACGACTGTACCTGAACATATATCCATTGCTAGATGTACATCGTAATCTTTTCCTTCGAAGGGTGGCCTGCCTGACCATAGTTCATACATAATCATTCCAACGCTATAAACGTCGGCTGCTCGAGTGTATGGCGCTTTACGTAACACTTCTGGTGCTACATAAGGAAGCACACCATGAACTGGCGTTTCATTTCCAGTCACGGAAGTATTATTCCAGCAAAGACCGAGATCACTTATCATTGTCCAGGTACCAGATCGCAGAATGTTCCCAGTGTGCAAGTCTTTCTTCAAAGTTTGTAGCGAAAGGAAGATAGTATTGATCTGTCAGTTATCATTAGTGCATAAGGACCGCTATTAATAATTATCATAGAACTCGCTATTACATGCAACAGTCCCGCTTTATGAATGGTCACCAAGCCGCTTGCAATGTCTCTGAGAGTGATAATTTTTTTCTGTAGAGTAAAATTATCAAAGTTCTTGGACATATATTGCCGGAGATCGCCATCCTCAGCATATGAGGTGACGACTATAAACTCGTTAGTGGATGGACAGCGTGAGATGCCATAACAATGTACGACGTGCGAAACCAACGTGCTGAATTTGTGGTATGCACCCAACTAATCGACAAGACAGTGATGTTAGCAAAACGACCAGCAATGTGAAACAGACTTTACTTATTACATGCCTCTTTCAGAAATCTTATTGTCTCTTTATCAGAATTTTTAATACGCTTCAATATAATGACGTTCGAATTTGCTTGATCCCAGCCTCGCCCCCATTCATCGTCATCTGCGTCCCATGTCCGAATAGGTCCTCGAGGCCAATATGCTGTAAATCTAATTGAAAATCAAATAATTAGAATAAAGCGAGAGTAGCTGCCGATCAAGAAATACATATAGACATGATTCAGAATATACCTACACTGAGCTGTTACCGCCATTTGCAAGATGCTTCACATTTGTAAACTCTTCATAGTCTATCCATTCCAGGATAGATCTGGCATTGGTTGCCTTAAGTTGAGCTTCTTGAATAAAATCATCGATTTCTTCGGAGCCACTCGTCCAATTTGCAAAATTCTTTTGAAACTGTTCGTTGTTGCAATATTGACACCAATTGTATCCTGTTCTTGTGCTTTTGCATTCATCACATTGACCAAATTGTCCCATTGGTCGTAGCGTAGAAAGTCTGACTGAGTTTCGCCGGGGAAAGTGAACCGATGGGAATGGCTTAGCTGTCACTGGCATGTCGTTAGCGGTAGCGACGTTAGAATTTGGAGAACACTGAGCATCATTTTTTGCTTCGAGTGGATAATTATCATTCAATGATTCTTCTGCTTGCGCGGACAGAGTTGTAGCTGGTTCGCAATTAGTGATAGTGACATCTGAAGATAGGACTTGTGATGGAGAGTGATGGGAATCATTATGAAACGAAGCTTGGGTTGGAGAAGAGTGATGGGTTGGGATATCAGTTTGATGGTTTACTGATCTGTGGCCTGGCCTTAATCGATTGAAGAAAGAGGTGATACCCGACACTGTATCTATTTTATCTACTGTATCTATTGTGTAAGACTCCCTCAACTCCAGTCCGGGTATAGGTGCATCCATTAGTTCACCAGGGTCAGAAGCAGTAGTAGAAGATCTTGTTAGAAATTCCACGCAGAACGAGGGGGACAGAACTCGTCGAGTCGACATTCTGTACAAGAGAAAGATTACCTCAATAAAGTTCAGCAATATCTGCGGTTGTTATTGTATCACTGCCTTCTTCCATTGTTGCATCCCCATTATCTTGTGCCAAATCCGGTTATATTGTAAGGTCAAGGAAGTTGACAACATGGTCACGAAAAAGACATAGAATTTACTATTGAAGAACGGTAAAAACTTTACCTTTGAAACCCCCACTATCCCTATTTATTGTGTACGTAATAATGATTTTGTATAGTTTAATTTGAATTAGCAATATGAAATAAAGTTTGGGTGGGTATGTTGCAACCTACACATATAATCCGTGTCACAGACCTGTATATCAAGACTAAAAATTGCGTAACAATTAACGTAATTAGAATTACTATTTGTATATGTGAAAAAATCATCCTTTCCGCTATGTGCATTTATCAACCCTGTCGGTTGGGGACATGAGTAAAATCTATTGTGTAGCTCAAAGTTTATTTGACATTCGTTATGCACCATTTTTTGGCAAACCTTATTACACTCGTGAAACGATGGGCACGTTCTTAATTCTGCCGTAACACGTTACGTGTGGCGCAACTGCATTCGGTGCCACTAATATTGATGACATAAACATATTTTAAAAAATACTATTTAACAGTCCGCGAGCTTTTATTGGTGAAAAGGAGTTAACACTTAAAAGCGAACTATTCGATATGATGAATTCTAACGAAAATTGAACTGTTTAAAGTATAGTTTATATACTCTCAAATACACGACTGATAAGTGGTTAATATTGTTAGGAGCCACTAATTTTTATATAGTTAAAAACATTGTTATTCGCTTAAACGGAAACGCGCTTTAGAGAAATACAAGCTGCCAAACTTATACGCTTCCTCCCACCGGAAGAGGAAATAGTCGATCCACTTAAGGACAAATAATCGTTCAGGATTGGAGTTTGCAAAGTAGGGAGTAGTAAATATATCACCAACTATCGATTCGTATTTAACTAGAAAGCCGTTAAAAAATAACTAAATCTCTAGGTCAGCGAGAGACAGTCATAACTGAACCTGACTCGACAATATTATAAAAATGCTTTGTGACCAAACTGCTAGTGTGTCGTTGGCGTTGGTAGTCAACTCAATGCTACACTACTAATTTAGACGAAGAACTACTTCAGAGTGTCCTAAGATCTTGGAAAGGAGCCGTCCTCCAACTGTTGCGTCAGCAATCACGGAAAACAAACGGCGCCGATGGGTTTAGTCAGTAGATATGGGACTTTCATTCATCCTAGTTGAACTTCTGTTGGAATTCTAGGTAATTTTGATATTTGATATCGGAATCATCAACAGACAGATTATAGTCTCTTCGAAAATATGCTCGAGGGTGTTAAAGGTGAAATTTCTGGTGAAGGAATGAAAGACATAGTTTACGCAAGATGAGTAGTCATCATGGAGCATCTTCAAGTAGCAACATTGGCGGCAACACGTTTTATTTCCGTACCTTTATTGTCTCCTGGGTCTATCAATCCTGCTTCAATGATCAAGTGGTATTATTGAGTGGCAGCAATACATTTATCGAATATATCATTGATACAAGCCAAGAAAATATTTGGAAATTTAGATCGGAGCTTTACAGGCCTTCGCGTGGCTCCTGTCGCCAGAGAATGCAGTAGTGGTTGCTGTTATCGTGAAACATGACCACGAAAGGGATAGCAAGTTTCTTTTCTTTGACTAATTTCATCAGCACGGCGAATAGGTAATGTGGATCATTATGTTTGTTTCAGTTTGTTGATACAAGTTATCGAACGGTAAAACTAATTTTCTGGTTTTCAGAAATCGAACGGGAATTCGTCTGCTCCGGAAAAGTACGCCTCGTCGCTCCGCTCAATATGCCTTATTTGATTACACGCACGAAGCTCTTTTAATCTGGTGTTTAGAATATCAACACACACAAATAACCAACGCTCACACTGAGGATTACATTTATGACCTTGGCAAATATTGTATGCTAGTAAAGCTGGTTCTGGACATACTATGATAAAAATTTCTCGCAGAAGTACCGAGAATGAATTTGGAGAATGAATGAATTGCTTCAGACATCGGGACACTTATAAATGGACTGTGATATAGAGCAATTATCATGTTCATACGTTATGGTAATTATTATGTCGAGCTTATATGAATCCGTTTTGTCATTTGCTTTTTTATTAATTATCTTATCCCTTCCCTAGATTAAAAAGCTTGAGAATTAGCTTTATAAAGACATAATACTCCTATTTTTCGGTGATTAAAGTGTGGGCGTTGGTCCCGGTCACACATACCCAAAACTACGTCAAGCATCGAAATGTCTAGTTCTGTCTCCTAATTTCACTATCACTCCGGTCACCTCTACCAGAAGAACTGTTGGATAAGAATTGCTCACGTTTTCTCCATCTCCGAATGTCACTGCCGCTAATAGCAAGTCAGCCATAACCCAATTACCTCAATCAGCTGAAGCAGAATTGCTGTATAAGAATCACCTGCAAGAAACAAAAACGATGTTCACTACAAGTCCCATCCCCGAATGTCGCCTAAGCGAGCCAGTCAATGGGACAATTTGGTCAATGTGAGGAATGCAAAGTTCAAGATCAGGATACGGTTGGAGAAGTGGAAATCAATGATCGCTCAAGTATCGAGAGTATGGGGTGTGCTCGACGTCGCGATTTGGTTCATGCTCCCGAATGCTTAACAAGACGCTCGGCCTATTTGGGCAACCAATGGGTGATTTGACTATGCCGTTACTTGGCTATGGAAGATATCGACTTTATTCCGATGAAAGGGCGGATGGAAATGATTGTAGCTTGGCAGCGAGCAGATTCTGATATACCACTTTGGTCCGCGACATAGAATATATTACTGAAAAATGCCTTGACCATAGAGCAATGAATGTATCAAGGATGTTATTTTTATTGTAGCGAGCCAGTATTTATTTGCTCAGACTTTTGGCAAGACGTTAGTAATGGACAAGATCAAATGTTTATAATGCCGTTATTCAATGTCCGAACAATTTTGCCGAATTGAGTGCTGAAATTGACGCATTTTATTCAGGAGCGATTAGCATCAACTCAGATGACTGATACCATGTAAAGAGCCATCCATATACTCTTCAAATGGTTGCAGTAAACGTGCACGAATGTCTTTCGGAATTCTTTTAATTCGACGTTACATTGCGTATCGTATTTAATTGAAAAAAGAATAAACCAACTCGTAAACCATAAACTAACCAGCGAATTTAAAACGGACTTTGAGTCTTTAAATTATAAGAAAAGACAATGTTATCGTGTAAATTATTTAATATCAACGCGTAAACCCAATTACTTGTGCTATCATCATTCAAAATCATAACTGTTTCTCGGTTTGGCAAATTTCCAGTAAGTAGAGTATTTACTCTTCTTTTCGAGATGCGATAAAGGTTTACCTTGTTATGATAAATGGTCGAACAAACGTTACTGGCAAGATCGTTAAGACTACGTCTAAGTATCCAAGCATTCGGACTATGTTGGTCTTATTACACATATCCTTGCGACTTTACACTAAAAATGTCCGCCGGATACTGTCGAAATGGAAGTGAGAGAGATCTCTGTCTTACTATATCTAGCAAATCGACGTAGCTTAAGCTAAATTTGAATGACAGCCATAGCAACATCAATGTGTTAAACAAATAAACCAACAATGTTGACACCCGTGGATTGTGAACAAACAACCAATTGCCCGAAGGTAAAGTGATCTGACATTTTTTATACAGTCGTAAACTTTGTAACGTATGCGAACGTGACTTATAAACTTTATGATGTATGCGCAATATTAATATATTTATGTGACACATTTACGATAGAGTTACGACTTTATTCCAAGCTATACGTCCCCGTTTAACTATTATTACTACGAATCCTCACTCAATTGCACCAAAGATTTGCTTTGACATTATGTCTCGCATTCTGAATATACACTCATTTGCTGGTTATGAAGAAATTGATATTTTTCTAATTTAAATGGTTTACCATCGTCCACATTTTTACCTGACGTTTTTCAACCATCTGCGCGTACGAATATCCACAAAATAATATTTCTAAGCTCTGTCGCTTTGACTTAATTTGCACATCTCCCAAATAATAATTGCTTATTAATACCATCCCTGCATGGAAACCTTCTCGTCGTCTTCAGCTTCTTCAAATATTCGAAGACCACTACAATCAATTCCCTTGCCTTGCATCCATTGCGTATATTGTGACCAACTTCTATATCCAGAAAAGGCTATCCGGGTTGCACAGGAATATCTGTCAATTATATCCATCGATTTCAATACGGTGTGCAAAAAAACTGCCGACTTGTCATTGCTATCGACAAGACTGCAAATTCCACGTCTTGCAGAAATTCTTCAAGCAATTAATAACGTGCCTTATGGAAAAAAATTATTTGTCACCTATCTTTTACATTCTAGTCTGGAATGCCAATGCATATACAGGATACTGTTCTATTATGGGTACAATAGACCTTTCGAAAATCTTAGAACTCTAACACTTTATTCAGGAATGCTTGGAGCATTTCCTGAAAACTTGGATAATTCATCTAATGACAATAATTGGTATCATCATTCTTTACAAGCTGCGGTAAGTTGGCTCCGACAACACAATCCATATCCCCATAATTACTTTGCTCTTGCCAACCAATTATTACAAATGCACAGAATGTCTGCATCGCCTACTGCCTTTCCTATATCGCAAGATAACTCAGTAACATTATTTCAACATAATGATGTAATTGTTCCGAATCTGACTTTGCAGGAAAAGTGCATAATGAAGACTCATTGTATTCACAATTAACAGCCGGTTTCCTTTATTCCGCTGATGACAACAATCTTCCCATATCAATTAGCGATCCAAATCTTGCCATTGAAATCAGTATACGATTTTTAGTAGTGAAAGTATGCTGATACAGTTTAAGTATTTCTCCAACTTTTGTTGAGCGAGAGACATTTTGATTTAG